AAATATTAATCTTTAACCCTAGTTGGTAAATTGAAATTATAAATTATGCAGGAATTTTTACTGCAAAAATAATCCACAACCTTTAGAAAAATTTTTTTTCTGGTTTAATCTAAAAGTGTAAAAATGACGAAATTCATGGATATATAAATACGGAAAGTAAATTATCAGTTTAATAAACCCACAAAAACTCACAATAACCCCATAACACCCACAAATTGAGTGCCAACCGACTTTGATCAGCCATAACTTTTTTGAGCTTGATTCAATCCAAATGAATCTTATATCATTCGGAAGCCCTCAATAAGCGCTATTTTTATTCCAATAGGACGAATCAAGTCTGATCATTTTTTAAAAAGGTATAACACGATATGTCCAGTTATTTGGTGTTTTTACATTTAACGGGCTACGACCTTCTAACGAGTGATCAGACCAGAACCATTAAGTTGGAAAAAAGATAACGCGAACCAGAGGGCTTTCGAATGATATAAAATTTATTTGAATTGGATTAAGCCTGAAAAAGTAATAGCCGATCAAAGTCGGCTGGTAGTCAATTTGTGGGTGTATAATGAATAATAATTTTATTTTAGCATATACTAATTATTAAAAAACATAATTATTCAAAAATGTCTCCAATAAATATTTTTCTTTTTTTATTTTCAACTTTATTATTAGCCCAGTATGTCTATACCGATCCTACTTGTAAAAACGAACGTGAAACTGGTTGTAACAATGACCATGATGGTTATCCATGCTGCGCCGTGAAGGGCAAAAACTTACAATGCCAACAAACAGGAATAAAGACTTATAGTTGTCTTAATAAGAATTGTGTTAGTCAACTTGGTCCATGTGGCGGGAACTCTGGATGTTGCTACGGAACATACTGTCATATCGGGCGTTGTCACCAATGTATTCCAGGCGAATGCTGATCTTAATTGTTGAAAAAGTAAACCAATGTGCATCAGATTATATATCAAATGATTGAAGATGTTAAATTATAGATAAATTAAATATAATTAATTTAAATTATTTAAAATTTAGATAAAATTTAAGAATAAATTTAAGCTTCTTGGATTGAATTTATCTTTCAAATTCTTAAAATTTTCACTGGTGGCGCAAAGAAATAAAAAGAAATGTGTCAAATGTTGTTCCCAATATTCCCCCGACATCCCGCATAATTCACTCAAATTCTCCATATCTCAAATCCTCTTCTTAATCCACCAAAAAAACACACTATGGAATATTATTCGTTGATCTTCCACCCTGAGACAGTAGCCAACATCGAGCGGCTCCGAAAATCAGTAGCCTTAGCATAACAAGAATCTACAAATTATTTTTTAATTTGTTTTGAAATTTTTCAAAACAAATTGAAATTTTCCGATCTTCGAAGACTTTTCCCTTTCAAATTAGCCCTGCATACAACCTCTCACCTCTTTGAGAACAAATCATGGATTTATTTTAGCAAATTTCCTTCTGCATTTTTACCTTCCTAATTTTAAATACTAAAAAAATAACTAAAAAATAATTTCTAAAAATAATGTTTGGTCATCAAAAAAATTCCTTGATTCCCCTCTGTCAGTTGTTTTAACACAACAAAAATGCTTGTAAAAAAGATTAATTAGATTTTATTAAAAAAATTTTTTTGTGGGTACATATGTGTGTTAAAGCTTTGATGTTTTGTGATGCTTGTTTTAATCCAAAACATAGTGGTTTGTTGTTATTTTGAATTGTTTTTGGTGATTAATTGCTTAAACAGACATTACTTTTATTTTTCAATAAAAGAGGGGATGGTTGGGCGCGGGAAGGATTTGGCGCTTTTAATTAAATTGAAGGATAGAGAATTACTTGTTAGATAAAATTTGTGATAGGAGAAGCATGAAAGCTTAAATCAATTAAAAAATCTTGCTTCTTTAGGGTCTACAAGCGAACAAGACCACCCTAATTGAACCCCTTGACTAACTGAGATGTGCCTCTGGCTAAATTCGATTCAGAAACTACACTAAACCAGCTAGTACCATCTTCATTCCGTAAATTTCGAACTCTGTTTCTTAATTTGCTAGCATTAGAGGTTGAGCTGAGTTGAGTCAATGTCTTGATCTTCTCCTGTACCCACAGACTTCGGATCTTGCCATTTTGTTTCATAGAATAGGAATTTTATTTTTTGTGTCCTTGCCGCATACCTAGTCAAGTTTTTGAGCTTCCTAAGGTTTTGGGTCTAGTTATTACTAGATTCCAGGGCCAGGATCTATCCGAGATTAACGGATCACAGAGAATCCAGGTCCTTTTTAAAATTACGCTCTCTAGTTAATATTTTAAACTAACATCATTGCGCCAAAAAAGTTTGCGCCCAAACATGTCCTAGAAAATAAAATAAATTTATAGCCTATATAAAATCCCTAACAAAAACATTTAAGTATTAAGCCTTTCAATTTTATTTATTTTTTATTTATATATCCTTTTAATCAAAACTTTACCACATTTTTGCTTTTGCAAAATTGTTTATTAAAAATTTTTTTGTTTTTATTTATAAGCAAACTCACGATTCTTATTTTAATACAGTTTAAGCTTATTATAAGATACCCCTCGAATTATCCATAAAAAAAACCTCTCACGTCACTTTCATTATTACGTCTTCGAAATCCAGCCGAAGAGGGGTGTCGTTTTAGAGAGAGTCTAATGTACTGGGTGCCTTTCGATATAAGATAACATCGATTCAGTCCAGGGTTCGTCGCAGGAAGAGTCCATATACTTTGGTTGGATACTGGTTTACACCTCTATTTAAGGAACCTTCTTTTAAATATGGTTAACTATTGTATAGAGAAAGCGCTTAAACGATACCTTCTATTTAACCTACTTCTCATTATAAGATCCGAATTTTTTCAACCCCTAGAGGGTTGGAAATCTTATCAACCCTTAGAGGGTCTCTTATAATGAGCGTCTAACTGTACATATTTAAGGAACCTTCTTAAAAGCTGGTTGATCATTGGGTGGAGGTCAACCAAATTTTGGGTAGAGGTCAACCAACCAGATCAACCTTCTATTAAGCTATACACTATTATAAGGGGGAGGATAGCCCCTAGGGTTATCTTACAATGAAGGTCCAAATGTACATATTCATAACAACTTTAATTTCTCAAAAAATAATATTATTTTTATTTTTTTTTAATTTTTCACATGTTTTCTTCAATTTTTTAATGCGCGACAATCCTCTCAAATCTTTTCCTAATCTCACTAAAATTATTACTAATACATCTGTTGTTGACGATAAATGTTGACACTTTCCATAAATTATTTTTTAATTTATTTTTAATATTTTTTATACCCTACTTTCGCCTCTAGGCATAAAAAACAAACAAAAAATTATTCCAAGTAAAGATTTATGAAGATATTATTTTCTCTTAATTTTCTCAGGACATTTATTTTACTTTCTATAATAGGTAATAATCCGTTTAGCACTAAAAAATATTTCTGAGGGAATATTTATGAGGGAATCTGAGGGAATCTTGTAATCCCTGATGGGTAATCCGATGGGGAATATCTTGGGGAATATCTATTTTATATAGACCCAGGCTTGAGTTCGCAGCTACACCCGGTTCAGAGACCCGAGCTTGGCTTGTGGCTAGACGTCCGAAAACATACCCCCGAAAGTCCCGTTTTTTAAGAATATCTTGGTTCGCAGAATATCTTGGTTGACTTTGTATACAAATTTTCTATAAACTTTATAAAATTTTAAATTATTCCATTTTGGGAAATAAAAAAGATTCCGGGGTTAATCCTACGGGATGTTGAGTTGTCCGGAAACCCCTAATTCTATCCTTCTAAGAGATCCTGAATTTCTACTTACCGTAAATCTTCTAACTTGTTTCTAGTCCAAAAACATTTTTCAAACTCTACGAAAAAAATAAAAAAATCGCAGGAGCAATATATTTTACACATATGTATTATTTTTTATGTAACATATACTTGGACTATTTTTTTATTGTTTATTTAATTTTTTGATTTATTTATAATATCCACTCTCTAAAATATATTATTTTTTGACCTGTTATATAATTTATTTTTATTTATTGTAATAATTATTTTATTTTTCCAAGTATAATTTTAAGTTACCTCTTTAAACAAAAATTGCGTAATTAATGCCATTTAACCTATTAAATAGTATATGACACTATAAGTGATTTGAAGTGAGCAATAAACTAATATTTCTGAGTATTTATTCCATTTAAATTTAACTCTGAGTACCTATATCGTATTTACTAATATACATAGAAGCTCAATGAGATTCAACTAACCTCCACAGTATTTCACTTTTTTTGTGAGAGGGTATTCTTCAGCATCGTCCAAAAATGCGAGTATGTGGAGCTCTAATAAAAAAAGGGGGGGGGGTGATCGGTGACCCAAGGGAGGGGTGACCTAAGCATATCGACCACTCCTTTAGGAGAGATTAGTAGAACCAGACCTGGTCACGTATACTGATTTTGGTATCCGTATCCGGATATTTACGGCGGATACAGACGAATACCCGCAGGCATTTTTATAATATCTGTATCCATATCCGTATCCATGTCCTAGTCTGATTGGAAGGGTATCTCAAATTAGAAGGGTAATTCTTCTCTAAAACAAATGGCATACCTATATCCCTCCTTCTATTGATAAGAGTGGGTTGTTGCTTCCAGTCTTGGGTATTTAGCATTTGTTGGTTCCGGCCTCGGAGCGGTCCCTCGAAGCCATACCCAGCACTGGTTGCTTCTTTAAGGGAGAATGCTGGCTGAATAAAAGGGGGGACCTAAACCTAAGCATTGACCAAAATCCCCTTTAAATTTAAATTCTAATCAAAAAACACTAAAACCAAACCCAAATCCATTCTCAAATAATTTCCCCTTCCCTCTATTTGCCCAAAAAGTATTTTGTCTATAAAGGGTCAAACAAGCAAAAACAAGAAAATAAAGAAAATAGGCCGACTCACGGCCAAATCCGCTTTAAAAAAATTTTTTTCTGAGAGATGATTGATTCATTTCATCCCGCAAATCCCTTTTCCTTTTTTCAAAATAAAAATTTTATTAGCCATTTAATTTCCCATTCATTCTCGATTTTCTTCAATTTCCTCTCCTTTCCTCCTCCTTCCTTCTTTGACCGTTCATTGCGCGGGGATTAGCCCCCTTTCCTCCTTCCCCCCCCCCTTCTCCTAGTCGGGTTTCTTCAAAAAGTAATGATGCGCGACAAATGGTGGACATAAAAACCAATATAGTATATTTAGAGAATGATTATTATTTGGCAACAAATAGCGAAAAATGAAGGAAACCTTCTCCTTTTTCATTCAGCGGATGCGCAAACACAGATTTTTTGTTGGGGATTGGGAAAATAGGGGGAGGGAGCTAAAAGAGCTTCAAATCTGTTTTAATTATTTGCACGCTAATCAATTAATTTTTTCTCTCGATTCGAGAGGGTTCTTGGCTTATTTTGTACTTACTGTAATTTTTATAATTATTATCATGAGATTGGTATTAACGCGGGTTGCCGATTTCGAGTCGGGCTGACGGTCGAGGCATTTTTCCGGTCTAACTTTATCGAGTCGGGCCATTTTAGCAAACCTAGTATTAACAATACATCTAAATCTTTAAAGAGGTGCCATTTACTGGCTGACATGTAGGCAGATCTAGTAAAACTCCCATTTTGCCTATCACACAATTACATACCAGGGATCCTGCCCTTCGATTCTCGAAATGTGAATTTATTTTTTATGTCATAGGATCCTCAATATACCAGGTCTGTATTACATACCTGGGATCGGACGTGTTATCCAAGATGTCGCGACTATCTAGTCAGCGATAGGAAAGAAAAGTAAAGAACCAGGAAATGGGCAGCGGCTGGAAATAACAAAAACAGCAAAATTTGCAGATGGCCGAACGGATTAGGCCGCAGTTTGGAGAGAAGGGGCCCTGGATCGAAGGACAGCAGTCCAACCCAATTTTTCACAAAGATCTGATATACATTAAATCCGAAATCCTAACAATCCAAAAATTTTCGAAAACATGACGAAATGGTATCTAACTTTTCTCCCTACCCGAGCTATCCCTGATACATACCGCCAAAATTATGAATATCAATATTTAAATGATTTGTTCCACTGTTTATGCACATGTCCGCAAATGTTGTCCGCAAAAATTTTGAATTTTTGTTTCCATATACCTAATTTAAAATCAAAAATTTTTCTGATTTTCCGATATCAATATTCCAAGATATATTTTCAAGTTAAATAAAAATATTCTTTCTTCATTCCATCAAAAAAATTTCCTCCCTCCCTCCCTCCCTCCCATATTCTTTTACTTTTTTTTGTATCTCAACTTTTCCCAAGAATCAAAACTCTCTAAATTTCATGTTCAAACACCTGCCTATATTTTCCTATTTTCTAGTCATCTGACCTGGAAGAAGATACTTTTCAATACTTTCACAAAAAAATTTTTTTTTGAAGAATGCCGATACTCTTTTGAAATTTTTCTTTTGTGTTTAAACAATTTTTCATGTTTCTCTTTTAACAATATTTAATTATAATACATCTATTATATTTATTTTATTATATTTTATTCTAATTATTAGTCAGGCAAAATTTTTATATAATTTTTATAATGGCTATGTTAATGCGCGAAAGTAATATTTAATGGTAATGGGTGTTTATAGGAATGAAAGAACAAGATCAAAAATAGTACGAAATTCTACTTAATATACATTTTTTAATTGAAAAAAAGTCTCGAAATTATTAAAGTAAAATTATTGATGTCTCGTTTTTAAATGACACTCATCTGGTTTTATGTTTTATTTGAGTGGATACCAGGGCTGGGCGTAATGAAAAAATAAAAAGCGAAATGCGAAACTTTTCGCGCTAAAAAATGCGAAACGCGAAAGTGTGAAATAAGCCCGGCACTGGTGGATACTCTCGATGTATTCCTCAACCCCTCAATATGTTCCTTAATCCCCTCGATATCCCTCTAATCCTTCGATATATCCCTTAATCCCCCCGATATCACTCTCAATCCCTCTATATCTTCCTTAATCTCCCGATATCTCCCTTAATCCATCGAGATATCCCTCCCAATCCATCGATATCTCCCTTAATCCCCTCGATATCTCTATTGATCCCTCGATATCTTACTTAATCCCCTCGACCCTTAATCCCCCTGATATCTCCCTTAATCCCCACGATATCTCCCTTAGTCCCTCCATATCTCCCTTAGTCCCTCCATATTTCCCTTAGTCCCTCCATATCTCCCTTAATCCCCTCTATATCCCGCCTAATCTCAACATCTACCTAAATCTCTTGATATCTCTCTTAATCTTTCACCATCCTCCTTAATCTAACTATACCTCCCTTAATCTACCGATATCCCTCTCAATCCCTCGATATCTCCCTCAACCCTTCTATATCTCTCTTACTCTAACCAAATCCATCGATGCAATATTATCATGATTTGCTAACAGGAGCCCAAAGTCAACATGATGCTGGTTCCGATGATCACCGATTCCAGAGCCTGTGTTAAACTTTTACGAAGGGCCGGAGCTAGAGGATGCCACAAAGCATAAAATACCCAGGCACTGTTGGGGACTGAAAATCATTCATTTACTGAATTCTTTATTTTCGTTTATTTAAATATTTTATTTTTTTGTTTTCGCGCAAATTTATTAAATAAAAATGTTAAAAATGAGGGAAGTGTCATTTAGATTTCCTTAGGGAAAATAATATATCGTTAATAAACACCCCAAAAAATAGAGGTTTTTATTAACATAATTGGCGTTAATTACATTAAAAATTATTTTGAAAAATTGTAGATTTTGGATCATTTTAGTAACCCTGATGAAATGAAAAATAAATTCCCGATTAACGGGAAACGGGATTACCGGCCAAAAAACGTCAAGAATAGGGATGTGCGTTATGGCGTTTTGACGTTGCATTTTGGCGTCCATTTTTGGCAGATTTTGGCGTTTAGTGTTTGGCGTTTTTTAAAATTTTGAAAAATTGGCGTTTGGCGCGCCACGCAAAAATTTTGGCGCACATCCTTGGCAGGTAATTCCCGCGGATGAGCCGACGGCAGGATTACCTTATTCCTTTAAATTTACAAAATATTACTTCTTATTTTCTGAAATCGAGCTCCACGATAAATTACAGCCCAATTAGAGGCTCTGGGTACAGGGAAAACCCAAGCCTTTTTACATTTTGTCACAGCTCGATTTCTAAGCCCTACACATAAGAGCCCCCACTTTTGAGGGCAGTTGCAAAATAGAGCCTCCCCCTAAATAATGCCTAGTGCTCAATTACTGCCCTAATTCTAATCAAAGTGGCTATACACAAGAAGTACGGTAGACATCAAATTTTCTGTCCGCAAATCTTGTCCGCAATTCTTGTCCGCAAATAAATTCTTTTCCGCAAATTAAGTTCCTGTCCGCAAATGAATTTTTCTTTAATTTTTTTACTTAAAAAAATAATTAAAATCTCTCTTCTAATTTGTCATTTAATTAAAGACATTCCCCAAATATTAAATAAATAAAAATAAATTTATTCCACAGATGTTTCCTCATTTTTTTATTGCAAAATCTCGGCAGTTTTCTTGACATATTTTTTCCCACTTTTATTTTACTTGTTGAAACCACAATTAAATGAAAAAAAATTTCCTTTATTTATCGTGTTTCTCTTCAAATAAAAATAATCAAATGTTATGTATCCCACTTCCCTTTTTTCCTTTCCCCTTTTCCCATTTTGTCACATTTTGCCAATTCCACATTTTGCCAATAAGGGTAAAACTTTACATTTTGTCACAGTCTTATTGGCAAACTGTAAGATTTTACCCTTATTGGCAAAATGTCGAATTGGCAAAATGTCGTCTCATTTTATTTAAACGCCCCAAAACCACTTGTTTAGCATTTGTCCAATCTCGTCTTTTAATTAAATGCCGTCGGCACTAAATACATGTTTACAAAAGTGCTAAACATGTATTTATTTAAAGAGTGTGTGCAATCCAATATTAGTTGTTGTTGTTTATTTAAAAATACTCTAGGGATATTTTAGTAAATTTCGCTCCCTAAAGCAATTTAAAAAGGAAAGGATAAACAAGAAAAATTTTCTAAATTTATAAAGAGGATTAGGAATTTTAATTATTATAAGTAGAGCCAGGATTTTTAGGCACGATTAAGTTAAAAATAGGCGCCTATGTAGGCACTAAAAAACTGCCAAAATAGGCACTAAAATTCGAAAAAAATGCAAAATAGGCAGGATTTTTTCGAGATTTTCTGATTTAAATTGAATAAATTTTATCAAAAATGATAGATCTAAGCAATAAACTGTTAAATAAATTAATTTTGACGATCAGAATTACATATAAATTAATTCATATTAATTATTTTGTTTCCAAAAATAATTTGATAAATTTTTCAGAAGAAAATTTTTCCCAAAAAAAATTTTTTGACAAAAATTTTAAGGAAAAATTTTATATTTTTCAAAAAAAAATTTTTTAGACAAGAATTTTTTCAAAAAATGCCCAAAAATGAGCACTTTTTAGTAAAAATATCCAAAATAGGCTGAAAAAAGGCATAATAGGGCACTTTTCCAGAAAAAGTTAAAATAGGCAATTTTAGGCAACGATAAAAGTAGTTAGAAAGCAGATTTCAGTAAAATAACACTGGATTTGAACGTTTCAGCATCAGGCCTATCTAGGAAAAAAACAGGCATTTGCCTAAAAATCCTGGCTCTAATTATAAGTAATTTACGAAAGGGGGAGGGTCGAATCCTTATTGTAAAAACACCTCAAAATTTAAGATTTATTTTTTAAAATTTATTTGGCCAATGGGGCGGTAGAGATGCCTAACAGGGATGAGCGCAAGAGTCAATCGTGAAAAACGCAACGCAAGGCCAAAAATCAACGCAAAACGCAATACGCTCACGCCTGATGCCTAAGCAATACACTACTTTTAGGATATCTCTCATTATGAGATATAATTTTTTAGGCCTAAAGGCTTACAAGCCTTTAGGCGCCTCTAACTCAATTAAGGTAAAATACTAGATAAATTTCTATCTATAATAAGGGGGTACCAGTCCTAATATCTTGAGGCTATCTAATTATTGACAAAAATCGGAAAATTCCCGCAGCCACAACCCTCAGTCCGCAAATTTAATTTTAAAATCCGCAGCTGCAATCCGCAATTGCGTGAAGACCTGATTGACAGCTCTTTTCGGGTTTCAAATTTAGTCAAGTTAGTTGCATATGTAGGTTAGAAAGCTGCCTAAGGTGCCGTTAAGGATTCTTAAGTCATTGGAATCAAATGTCCTACTCACCCATAACTTTTGAGACAACTACACCATCGAAACTCATAGAGGAACAAAAAAATTTTCTGACATACATTTGAGCTTTAGGGTCTCATAATTAGCTTAAGCTTTAATTACCTCTCTAATATTTTTTAATATTTTTTTTTGTGTTCTGGCTAAACAAACACACATTTTTAATAATAATATCTTGGTTTATCTATTCAGTCAATTTACCACTCCCTCAAAATTTTTTCTTCTTACAATACCTTATTTTTCTGTCTTTAATTCCCTTTTCTTAATAGCCCTTATTTAATGCTTTTCGATGATTCTTCACAGTTTAGCCACCATAAGTAAAATAAGAGAGAAATTTTTCGGGGGGGGGGGGGGGGGGGAATAAAAATGAGCAATAGGGAAAGGAAAAGCATTTTTGGGATGAAATGTCTCTCTTTCCCCAAAACTCTTGGGAAACAAATGCAAATAATATAAAATAAATATAGATAGCTTTAATGCCATCCAACAACTGATGAGTAAGTCTTTTAAAAACAAGACTTATACAAGAATAGGGTAGGGGGACGTTTGGGCGTGATAAAAAGAGGGCGCGTTTTTGTGAATTTGGAAGGAATACAAGATTTTTTGAAATTTGGAAAATTTTTTAAGACCTGTTAAAATTTGCTGGAATAAAAAATTTTGAAGCGAATGGATTGTAAATTATAGGAAAAGTCTCAAAAATGTCCGCAAGAAAAGTCCGCAAAAAGTTACCGTAAATAAAGTTAATTAAAATTTTTTAAAGTTTCCGCAAAATTATATTCTCAAAATAGTGTCCGCAAGTTAAGTCCGCAAAAAAGGGCCGCAAAAAATGCCCGCTTAAAAGTTACGGGCTTTCTTAGCCCGCAACGGGGTTTTCTTAGTCCGTCTTTCTTACGGGCTTTTCTTAAAAGTTACGGGCTTTCTTAACCCGCAAATAGTCCCCGCAAAAATTGTCCGCAAAAATCTACAATAAAATTGTCCGCAAACTTTTAAAAAACACAATTTCCCAGATATTTTATAATATTTCCTAATTTCCAATCAACTTTACCACCCTCTATTTTGCCAAATTTATAATCACTCCATACCATTACCGCGCCATAAAATGCATTAGGAGAACAAAAACAAACAATCCTGAGAAGCTCTCCCTTCTCAATTTTTAAATAACCAACCGGGCGGAATAGTAAAAGCAAACAGATACATAATATAACACACATTTATATTTTTTCTGTTTAATTTCTAAAAACCAACCACTCATCTTCCGACCATTTTCCAAATCCTCAAAATTTTTGACTGTTTCCCTCTTTCATATAT